CCAGGGCTTGAACCCTAACCACTTGATACAAAGTTGAGTGCACCAACTGTGGGGGCACCAATACTCACCAGAGTTGTTTGAAGAACCTCTGATGACTGGACCAGAACACTGACCATACTCTTGGTGTGGAAGTTGTAGTTCGACCAATGGCATATTCAAGTGACTTCTTTAACTCACTCCTTGGATTGGAAAGAGAATGACAACATGACTTACTACAAAAAGAAAAGCTGACATCCCACTAGGATTTGAGAATATGGTCAGGTCCTTCATTCTCAAAGCCTACCTCCTTTGAGTTGTTATCAGATAGTAATGAGAAAATGGAAACTGATTGCTGCATGCTTACCAAACATGAACTGCTGTGTCATAAACTTTAATCTGATCTGCTGTTAAAGGAGCCTCTACATTAACAAACTGAAGAAAAAAATATGAAAAACATAGATACAACATGAGGCACAAAATAATAAACCTTGGACATAGCTGATTTGAACTCAGATAATTCAAACTTCCCTAACTTACTTCAAACTTAGATCCATTTCCCTGCGATTTACTTTTACAGTCATTTAAGCTTAGTATCAAATTTGGCTATTTCGAACTAACTTTCAAGCTTCCAAAACAAAGTTGAAAAAACAAAAACAATCATTATGTCACAAAATTAAAGCTGGGATATGGAAATTTGATCTTTTCACCATGCTTTAGTCTTGTCTATAGGATGTTCCTTTCCTACTCTTGGTCAATAAAATATTTCATTCCATTCTGTTTATGGTGAATTAATTATTATTGATTATTTTTTCATATTCAAAATTGACCTGCTTATTTTGAACCGCTGCTGTTTGAAACTGATTTTCTCTTCCTATCAGAGTTTGAAGTACCAAGGCTCAATATTATTGTTAACAGGGCTTTCATTACTGTTTTCAGCAAGAGGGCAACTGGTTTTCAAAGGCAGCCAAACTTTTTGAAAATAACTTCTTTATAAGAAAAACTTTTCTCTAGCATGTCAAACCAGTCAGGCAAAATCATCCTCACAGCCAGTTCATTTGCCTGGTGTCCCGCCTTCAATGAAACCCCTGCTGTACATCTATTACTATACACAGTAAAATAGCTGAGGATTTGTACAAATTATATTGCTTAACCCAAATGTAAAACTTGAAAAATTACCAAGCTAAGGTGACATAGACACCATGAATCTCAAATAAACTTTTGTTTTGTTTTGTTTTCATTTTATGGCCAGTTATTTAGCAGATATCCATTTTAATAACATTCAGTGCAATAATATTCTTATACCTCAGCTTGTCTGAAGCTAAGTCCTCTGGAGACATACATTCCAGATGCCTTCATCTCCATAGCTAACATTTCAGCAGCACCTAAAATATAAAGATTAATGAAATGGACATGAAAGTGTTCATAATATACATGTAGTATGGTACATGTGCATTTCTGCAAATGAAGGTTCACTGATCGGTTTTGATTTTGTCCCCACTGTTGCATAAATAAACATCACTCCCCTGGCACTGACTTGGACCCCGCCGAACCCATGGGGGAAGAGAAAGAGGGGCTGGCTCAGACATAGCTGGAGGTGTGACACTGAGTCAGAACTAAAGAGAAGTGGCACCACCTGGTCCGAGGCAGAAAGGACAGCCCAGAGTTGAGTGAAATGGAGGAGAGTTGTTGATGGCCTATGCTCCACTTAAAGTGAAGAGCCTGAGGTAGGTTGGTTGCATAAATTAAGAGTAGGTAAAGTCTCCATCAGGCCATGTGGTCCATACTGCCAGAGCTTATTGAGCTTTTCAAATCATTAAGCAACTAGCAGTACTTCTATTCCCCCTGGATGCGATGCTAGTCCATCAAAGGGTTACCCCAGCACTAAATTTGCTGCCATCCATTTGTACACCTGGGTGAAGAAAGGCGCTTTGATAATAACATGTCATGGCCAAGAACATAAAACAATGAACCCAGTCAGGGTTCAGCAAACTGGCCCCCTTGAGACGTAACCTGGACCCTCAAAAGAGACTACTTCAAATTCAAAAAGCTAATACAGAGCAAAGTTATATTTTGGGTGGGTCAGTGGTCCAATGCACATTGAACACCAAATGTGCAGGTCTGGATCCAAATTGTCGAGTATGTTACTTTCACTTGGCTCATGTTACATACATGTAGCACTTAGGTTACGAATCTACAGGCTAGACAACAAAACCGCAAATTAAAATCTTACCGAGTCCTCTCTTACTGATGCTGGTTAGAAAAGAATCAAATGACTTGAATGCCGTCCCATCTCCCCACAGACCAAGTCGCTCCATGAATGCCTGAGGAAAAAGAAGAATCAAACCTAGGTATAGTCTAGACATACCAGCCTAGTGGCACATCGGGCTGGCACTTGTCTCCATTTTCGTAGCATGAAGTACTAGGAGTTTTTAGGAACAAAAAAAACAACACCCATAGTTGGCTAAATATTCTGCCCAATACTATCTTCAAAACGATGACAAGCAATCACGTAAGAATTGAAACGCAGCCATTTCTTTACAAATTTTGTCATCTAAAATGAACTTACATGTATACTTAAAACTATATTTATTTACCATATTTTTAACATCCGTTACGCCAGTTGCACTGCAGTACACAACACGAGCTTTTGGAAGGATCCTACAAAGTTGAGATACTGAATATCAGACTGGACGCCTTACTGCTGGGGCCAACAAGTGGCCAAATGGACAAACTGATATTGATTAGGTCATGTGGCTCGGTAGAATATGGTTTTTGTGATAAGTGAACAAAGATGGTGAGTTTTAAGCTTGGTAATGAAATGTGAAAAGTGAACTGATTAACATGACATGAGCACGGAACAAAGAAAAAATCTGAGTGCCCCGGGGACTCAGATTTTTTCCTCGTCCCACACTCATGTCATGTTGATCAGTTCACCTTTTAACACGGTTTTTGTCTGAAAAGTAGTTTCATGTCAGGGACTGCGATTTCTATGTTTGTTTGTAACAGTTTTTGTACTTTTCCCCCCATTTATCGCACAGAATATGTAAGTATGAGGTTTACAATTTCCCTTTACCCCAATGTGTTGTTAATTTAGGTACTTTTCTTTGTTCAGTTTTTACTGTAGGCATATATCAATTCAAGACAACACAAATGGTGGAAATGTCTGTAATTTGAAAGTTGTACACAATCATGAGATGACCTGGATTAAAGTGTTGTGTTCTACGACTACGCGTCAAAAAAGCTCTCTGCAAATAATTTGTCTGAACACTTACTTATTATCATTATTATTATTACTTAGCCTTACATGTCAAGTGACTTATAACTTGAGGTCATGTTTTAATGAGCAGATTGGCAGAGACAACTAAGTTTGTGTCTAACGGGCAAGTAATAATGAGACGATTCTCAAACCCTTTCCAGAGATAAGTACATTCCAACCAAAAAAGCCCCTTTCAAAACATAATAGGGAATCATTACAAAATTTACCTCTTCAATTTAAATATTACCTTTGTAGCGTTGTGACAGCAAGGGCAACTTTTGTACTTGTTTCCTCTTTGCCCTTAATTAAAAATAGCACAACACAAAAAGTGAAGTAAGAATGAAATAAAATTTTCAAAAATTTTGAATACTTCATTCACATTATTTTCAAAAAAGTGAAGCTTTGTTGTTGGTTCAGTGAAGACAAAATTGAAAAACCATGACAAAATTTACATTTTTATCATGATAATTGGGTGCCAGTTACATGTAACTGGTATGCAAGGAGACTGGTATTTTCACAAGATGGTTGTAAACCAAAAAGACCAAGGATAAAATCTTGCAGCTTTAATCAACAGCCACCACATTGGTAACTTGGTTAATCCAGATAGGTATGTAACTCAGTTCAACAACACTGATGTGTAATAAGAAATTTATCAAAATAACATATCTTAGATGCTTTACAGCAACAGAAAACATAAGTAAGTCACTTACTGGTACAAAATGCTTTGCCTTATGACACTCGTCAAATATTAGGCAGCCATTGAACTGCTCTCCGCCACACCAGTCGATCAACTGCTGCAGTCTGCTTTGACGATTAGTGCCTGGTAAAAAAGGACAACATTCATTTGGCAAATCTGAGTTCACTGAACTAAGGTCAACATGTCAATTTTCCCTAATTACTCCAATGTCGTCTCTGGCCATAATAATTATTAAGGGATCTAGTTAGGCGAGTTAAATTGAAGGAAACCTAAACATAGTACTTTACTAAGATGGGACACCAAAGGGATAATAATAAATTAATATGTACCTTTTTGGACAGATGATACTAAAGTGGCGTATGTACTAAAAACTACCCCTTCTTTGAAGTCAGCAGGCAAACCAAATACTCTGAAAAAAATATAATATCAATACCCTTCATTGCTGACAATGTTCAAAATTCACAAATTTCTGAAAATAAAGCAAACTCTACTTGTGCATTGTTTACTGTACATATTTTTGTTCAAGCCAAAAAAACCTTCAGTGGGGCTGGAACAGCACATAACTACCCTTTAGAAATGAGAGAATAATCCGAAATCAAAGAGTAACTCTTAAACTAATTGGCTAGAGTAGAGTTCAAAATATGGAAGGAAGGAGAAAATAAATGAAATCGGAAAAAGAGAAAAGGAAGTCTGTAAAATGTCCCTTTGGAGTACTTATTTACCTTGTCTCCTTGTCAAGCTGCTGGCAACCATCAATCACTTTTGCATAGCAACCAATGTCATGTAAATCTCTGAAAATAACTAAGGATGTTTTAATAATAATATCGATTGTGTCCAATTAGGCTATCCCCTAACTAGCTATAGGAGGATCAAAAGTTGCTCTCTGTTTTTTGGGGGATTCTTTCCAAGGTTAAAACTGGTTTTTAAAAGTGACATTTTTGGCCAGTTTGACTTCAGAAAATATTGAGAAAATTAAAAAGTCAAGATAAAGATCTTTTATTTTTCTCAATTCCTGAAGAAGGCAAGACAAGCTTGCTGAAATGTTGGTTGTAAAAATCAGTTTTAACCTTGGAAAGAATCCTGAAAAACTGAAAACAACTTTTGATTTTAAAGATGAGTGGTCAAAGTTTCAAAGATAGAGCTAGGAGAATCTTCGTCAAGAACACTTGATGTGACAACTTCTTTACAATGACTCCAATATACAAGCCAGGCAAATGAGAATCCAACATGGCTGGCTGCCATGAGAAGGCTAAGAGAAAGGTGACAATTTATAGTCAATTTATATAGTCTTTTATGGTAAGCTAGACAAAAAAAGTTGTATTTTTTTAGCATATATTAGCATTAAACTGTTTAACAATAGATGAGGTTGGGGGTTGGCACCTAGAAGGATGGTGGGACCGAGAGCGTAGGAGCCAAGCACCAAAGTATCCATGGCAACCCTGTGAGTGGCAACCACCATCTGGCACCATCACACTGAACGAGAATTCAGTGGAGATGAATTGATACCATAAGGGGAGGGGAAGGGAGGCACAAAACAGCACAAAGGGCTTTACAAATGCCAACAAAAGTGAATGCACAATGAATCTCAGAAACCAGACCTGTGCAAAGGTTAGGCCCTGCCACTTGTGGCTGAGATGAGCCACCATGATGAAGACCGCTGCCCGCATTGTGTCGATTTTAACTTTGCCTAAATTATATTTAGCCACATCAGAAGAGCCAACTCACTCGGATTTGCTAATAAACCATTATTTCTATTATAATTTATTATTATAATTTATTATTATTATTATTATTTATTATTATTATTATTAAGACAAACCTTTGTGCATCTAGTCTGAGGTCAGCTGAAATACTAAACCACACATGTTTGCACCTTCCACGGGCAAAGTTGTCCAATATTATTCCAGAAATCTAGAATGGAAATTGATTTAAAAAAATTGATTTATCATGACCATTTTTTCCATCCTAGGTCAATTGTGAAGGGCAATGTCAGAGAGATTCAATGAAGTGTCGCTCTCATCAGCATCCAATTTTACCTTAAAATATAATCCTGAAGGCATTCAAGTCTGACAATATATCAAGACAAGGAGAAACTGTTATTTAAAGGAGTGTCAAGATGGCATTTCACAATTACTCTTGTACACTCATTGAAAGTAATCAGTGAGAGTATAGACCATGAAAATGGCCAGCATAAATATTGGTTGCCTGTAGCATGCTGAACCAAGGCAAGTTTTCAGAAAACTTGAGAACATTTTGACTTTTCCAATTAAATGCAAAACCTTGAAACATGTAATTACAGACATCTGGGATACAATTTCCAAAGAACTCATCAGCTTCAAGTAGAAATAAAGCAATCCTTCATGTAGATATGCATCCACTTGATTTATCATTGATCTGCCTTCTATAATTAGTTAACACAAAGTTTCAGAGTTCTATTTTTTAATAGCCACATTTTCCATGGTTTACACTCTTATGGACCAAAGATAATTTCATGACACCATAAAATGTCATTAGACATTAGTAAGAATAATTTGGCATGTCTTTGTTTGATAACTCATTTTATTAATATTCCACTTTTACCACATTTTACCATGGATAATTTTTAGGTCTACTGTCTTGAAAGAGAACATAAAAAACATGAGCCACTCTTTGGGTCATTCACATTCACCTTATGTGGTTGGTACAATTGCAACCTGCATTTAATGTGTATTATACAGTGTACGTCAAACCATTTACAGTAATAAGGTGTATGGTTTTCACATTTCTAGCTGGTTTTGATATTTGTCAGTATCTTACCTGCCTCCCCTTCCCAACACCAGCACCATCTCCAATAAAGAACCCTGCCCTCTGTCCACTGGCAAGCACAATCTGATGTCTCTGACACTAGAAAAGAAAACGTCAGGGAAACCAATATGACTACTAACAATGATTAAATCAGTAATGACAGAAATATACCATGTGAAACAAGGATGAACACAGAGCTGGAAGAAAAAAAATTCTTAAGGAAAACTGTTACTGGTTTACTTTTGAAAGGATAATTTGCCATGAATATGCACTGTGATACATAATTACAGAAAATATCTTTGGCCATCTCACAGAATGTTTTTGGTTTCAGCCCTATTACTCCTCTGAAAATCCTGGCCTAGCTTCATACTTTTCTTTAAAAACTTTGGCTTTAGGAAAGTCCCTTCCTCCCTGTCGAGATTATCCTTGGGGTACTATCGATATCTCCTGGAACTCATGATCAACTTACAGCATATAAAACTCCTTCCAGCTGTAGATCACTCAGTTTACCTGAAAGAATGATATGCATAAATAACTTATTACAAGGAATAACCAAAGATTATGTGTCTGAGTGCATTTGATGCCTTTAATTGCCTTAAATTTATAGATTTTTTCATGTAAATAGTAGCCTGTATGTGATTCTATTTGTGTTGGAGTTAGTGTTGTAAATAATTACAATTTCACTTGTTGCAATATACCAGTAATCAAATATGCTTAAATAATTTCCAGTGAAATTTCCTTGTGCCATATTTGTTAGCCTAAAGGGGAAGAAGAGGTGCTTAAGGGGAAGGGGGAGGTACCAAAGAGGGGAGAAGGAGCTATCTAAGGGGAAGGAAGAGATGCCTAAGAGAGAGGAGGAGGTGCTAAGGGGGGAGGAGGAGGAGGAGGAGGAGGAGGAGGTATCTAAGAGGGAGGAAGAGGTATCTAAGAGGGAGGAAGGGGTGCCTAAGAGGGAGGACGAGGTGCCTAAGAGGGAGGAAGAGGTGCTAAGGGGGAGAAGGAGGCACCTAATGGGGAGGAGGAAGTGCTAAGGGGGAGGAAGAGGTGGCTAATGGGGAGGAAGTGGTGCCTAAGGGAGAAGAGAGGGAAAAGAGAGAAGGAGGAGAAGACAATGCTAATGATTATTACAACTGAAGTCCCACCTGTCTCTACCAAATCTTGTGGAAGTGACTCAAACAATGCATATTTGGCTGCTGGTAACTGTTGAGCCTGAAGAGCAGATAGTGTTTTATAAATAAGCATAAGTGGCCAATTAGGTATCACTTTGGTCCAATCTACCCAAAAATTATAGCTTATCTGGAGAAACAGTACTCCCCTTGGACAGGAAAAACACAATGGTCCATTAGTGCTTCCAAAAAGCTCAGGCACACTCTGGGAGTCTGGTGATGAATCACTAACTATAATTTACTACTAATAACTTACTGCCAGACATCCAGCCTCTACAATGTCTCCTGGATGACGCTGAATATTCTTTTGGTGTAGAGAATAGCATACATAGCTGGAAAAGACATCTTCACTGCAAATAAAATCAAACATGAAAAAATGAACTAACCATTTGTAACATAAAGGTTGATTGTCGAAACTGCTGAAAATGGTTTGGGAAACTAAGATGTTTTGTTACGATTGCCAAATCATTGTTCCACCCCAGACTAATTATTGTTAAAGTAACTGTCAATAAAAATTTACTTAATCCAAAATATTAATATGAAACCTGAGTATGTGCCCAAAACAGGCCAGACGGGAACATTGACCTGGGATGCCTTTTGTACAAAGCCTAATGCAAACAGAAGAGAGGTTTGTGTGAGTGTGATCTGTTGATAAGAAATTTTTTTATTGAGTACTATGATTCAAAACTCACTTGAAAAAGGACCAATGTTACATCATAGTGTTTACAATGCCTCCTAAATTTCCACCTTTGTCCCTGACCCTACCCCTCTGTCCCCATGGTATTGGTGATCACCCTAATTTGTACAGCAGTGCATAAGAAATCTTGCAATGTCTCCTGTACTCGTTAAAGGTACATCAATTAAGGACTCCTCAACTAATATAAACTTAAGCTTATGATTGTCACTGCAGCTTACCACTAAATTATCTGGGTATCTCAAAAACTAAGACCTTAGACCTAAGATCTACGACCTAAGATCTACGACCTAAGACCTAAGAGATTCGGAGGGGGTCTTAGGTCTTAGTTTTTGAGATTTAGAGCGGGTCCCAGGTCCTAAATTTTTAGATTCAGAGGGGGTCTTAGGTGTTAGTCATTTAGACACCCAAACTATCTCCCCCCGGCCACAACCCACCCCAAAATTGCCCCATTGGCTGAAAACTTCCTTTGATTAGCCTTCAAATTTCATCGTGCATACGTTAGAATTCCAATAATTTGCACAATGAAACCCAAGCAACTGCTTTGAAAAGTTCACCGGTTTTCCCCCAAGGTTACCTTCGACTCTCTGCGATAACACCGTGCGCCATTTTGTTGAGTTCTTCATGTTCCTCGCTTGGATTTTCAACACGGTTAATAAAGATCCGGCGCTGGGGAACTGGTGATTCTGGACTAGAAAGCGCCATTAGTGACTTCTGACGGCTGAAATTGACGACTTAGTGTACTACATTTTCAGAATTTCACGAGATTTCTTGTATTTTGTCACCGGTGTTTGTAAAAGTATTCCCGCATTTTTTGCTATCACCGCTGACAGTCCGCTGATTCAGCACAGGTAACCTCGTTCCCAGTGTCAGCCATCTTGGAAAGACCATGCGAACNTTTTTTTTTTTTTTTTTTTTTGATTCGCGACTTTTTAATTCTTTTCTTCAATTCCCAGTGCATAGCGATTGCAATCGAACCATAGAAAAGGCCGATTACCAGTTTTGACAGTTTTCTGACGTTTTGTAAAAATCACGAAATCCAAGTCAATCTGTGTTTCTGGAGATATATTATTAAAACAATGAAGCAAGGCTGATGATTACTACGTAGAAGGTAAGATCGCAGGACAACGACATGATAGAGTCGAAACTGAAAGTCAAGAAATGTAACCGTGGACAGCTGTTTCAACCTGTTTGGGTCTCGTCCGCACGGTGTAGCAGCAGAAAGTAGGACAACAGACAACAGGCTGGTGGAACGATTGTCTAGTAAATTAGATGCACATGGAGATGGCGGCTGTTCGACAATAATGACGAAATTTCTACGTCATATGGCGTTGCGGTACTCAAAGAAAGATATTTTTGGACGTGTTATAAATATCAGACCTGCAATAATAATGGTCAATTCTAGGCATGAAAAATTAAAACCACCCCTCCCCCATTTCAATGATGAAAAAAATGACGCGTTTTGGTTTTAGTACGGGTTTCAGCAGTTGATTCGGGGCGGTGGGCGGTTTATTTCCAATTGAAATAAAAAATTAACAAAACCTCTTCCCTCAGGTCAATGATGAGGAAAACATTGCACGTTTTTATTCGGGAAAAAGGGAAGAAAATGAGGATTAAAATTCTCATTTTATTTCAACTGAGACTGTTGTTCCATAACCACCCACCTCTCTCCCTTCCCCTCCCCCCAAAAAAGTCCAATCTGAAAAGGGTCAAGTCACGAACCACACACCTCATAAACTAATTTCTGTTGAGAACAAAAGAAGGGATGATCTTCTTATAACCTAAATACAGAAAATCGGCTGGGTCGAGTGACCCAAACCACCACAAATCTTCATATCTGCACGGACCACCACGGTGTGACACAAGAACATATCTGGCTTATCTCACCGCTGGCTGGGAAATGGGCGCTTTCCGTTTCATCTTACCGGGTGAGTCGGTGGAGAAAACGCTATCATTTATTTTTCCAATCGGCCCACCTCAGAGAAATTGTTTACCAGCTGTGTGGCGTAATACGTTTTTAGCTGGAGAGGGTACTTTTTTTTGTTTTTGTGATGTTTTCTTACCTCGGGGAAGCTCAACAGTCGGACCTATAAAGTTGCGAGTGTAAATTAATATTCGGAGGTGTCTCCTTTCAGAAAACCACAAATGACTACTTCTGATTGATTTCTGTTAATTTGTAACAACGATGTTATCTAACACCTTTGTCATCACACCGTAAATCCACGTTTTTTTTCGGCCTCTGGCCCAGGGTCATATCTGTGGGGAAAACATTATATTAAATTTCACGACTTCATTGCATGTGCCGTGAGCTTAGCCGAATAACAGAACAGAGGTATGAGTGGCGATTTAAATGCAAGTTGTAACGATGGAGCAACAGACATGCCGTCTTTGCCTGGAACTATCGTTGGGATTCAATCCACAGCCTTCCTGCTTCTTTCGGTGTCGTCTTTGATCTGCAATGCTTTGGTAGGATATGTCCTCTCGAAAAAACCCGAGTTGTTGTCGCATTCTTCCAGCAAGCTTCTTCTGAACTTGAGCGCATCCAGTTTTCTCCTCTCGTTCACTGTTTTGCCGTTCGTTTTCGCTTCGAGTGTCAAGCAGAAATGGATCTTTGGCGACAATTGGTGTCAAGCGAGCGGATTTCTCACTGTGCTTTTCTCCGCGACATCTTTGGGTACGGTCATGTTTTTGAGTATTGATCGGTATCACTGCATAGTCAACCCGCTAAATTACGCTAACAGGATGTCTCCTTGTTGTACGTGCTTTTTCACCGTGTGTACTTGGGGAGCAAGTCTGTTCTTAGCTTCGCTTCCACTCTTCGGCTGGGGAAAATATGGTTATCAACCCGCGAAGGTATCGTGTACCGTTGTTTGGAGCGACAACATGAGCCAGGGTTATACGAAACTTTATAGTCTAACACTTTTTATACCTTTACTGGTCATGTTATACGCGTATTATCATATTGTTAAAGCAGCACGACGACAAGCAAGAGTCGGACAACTGGCCGCATTGCCCGCGTCGATCATGGGTCCGCGGACAAATCGTAGCTCTATAGCGTCGAACTCAAGCGCATTCAGCGGTGCTAAGGCTTTACGCACAACATTTCTCGTTCTTGGTACCGTCATATTTTGTTGGCTACCCTACGTCATAGCGATTCTTTTAGAATCGGAAAAAATGTGTGTACGATATGAACTGCAGACTGCGTTTGTTATGGTTTCTTATTCAAGCAGTCTTTTTTATCCTGTTATTTATGGATTTCACATAAAAGCGATCAGAAGGAACATCAAAAGGCTTCTTGCCTCGTTGTTTTGCGGAAATCAGAACAGGGTTCGTCCAGCGAGCGACGCTGGCTTTGTAATTCCAACTCAAGTATGTCCCAGAAATAGATCGGCCTCTCAGGGTTCTGTGAATTCTTTCGACATGGCCTGGTCACCTCGAAGAGAAAGCGAGAGCATGTGGAGTCTCCCAGCGATCAAAGAAGAGGTTGAGAATGTGGCGAACGTAACGAAATCGACTGACCTTACTACAGATGGAGAAGTTTGTAACCTTCCAGGCAGCTGTGTATAAAACTATCAGGCAGTTGAATATTACATAACGCCATATTATGCCGCCTTGTCTTGGCCAAATTTCATACGTACAATAAAGTATCATTTGCAAGAATCTCTCTCAAGTTCACTCGTGCAGCTCAAACTATTTTAACATAACCTTTAGAGAAAGATGGCGAGAAAAGTAAAGGAAGGAAAATAAAAATCGAATTTGTGGTATTTATTGTCTTCTATATTACTTTTAACACCTGCATTCCGGAAGTCGTCTGGGTGGCCTATTCCCGCCAATATGGCGCCCGCGGAATGTTTTGATTGGAAACATTTCCTATGACGTCAAGATCTGGTGTTTGTCAGATAGACCACCCAATGTGAAGTGAAATTGTTGCTAAAATAGATAGGAAGGGGGCAAATTACGGGGCGCTTACTTATTTTTGACATTAACGTGTTTAAAGAAGGATCTTTCGTTTCAAGGAATGATGTCCTGAAGAAGATGAAAGACGGACGGATTATCTCAGTGCGCTCTGTTGGCTCTGTAATTGAAATAAAACAAGATAGGCTTAGGTAGAATTGAAGGGGTCGCTTTTTGGTACAGGCCAGGCTGATTGATGGAATCGCGGCGCTTGTAACAAAACAACATTGGAAGGGAGCGCTCATAGGTAAGGAGGCTCAGGATGGAATTCTTATGGTCGTCCAGTTGTCGAGCGAGGATGTTTTGCCTTTAGAACTTCCACTGAGTAGGAACGACATTTCTATTTTCTTTATGTTTACCGGAAATTCTTTAGCGCAGCGCGAAATTTTATCCGTGTGTCAACTCGTTGACTCGGTTCCAACTATTTCGAGTAAATATTTCCGTTCGAAAGTCGTATTTTTATGGCGTAATTGACAAACCACAACCCGGAACTAACCCGGGAGGGGTGGGGACATTCCATTAGAGCTGCTAGAGCTCGCCACCCACCAGTAAGGTCAGGGTTCGATTCCGGCCTGGTGCCATATGTGGGTGGAGTTTGTTGTTGGTTCAATTCTCGCCTTGCTCCGAGGGTTTCTCTCCGGTTTCTCCGGTTTTCCTCTCTCCGTGTACAAAAACCAACATCTTCAAATTCCGATTCCAACAGGACAGAAGACCCGAATGAAAACCAGCCAAGGCTGATGTGGCTTGTTTCTAAAATACCATAAATCCTCGGATTAGCGCCTCCCGTCGAATAAGCGTCACCTTCAAATAGGCGCACCTCCTATCGGCCGAAATTTAAAATAAGCGCCTACCTCCCCTCCCCTCCCCCCGCCCCATTTTCTGGACCGAGTAATGAGACAACAAAGGTTGAGGATTTATAGTTTTCGTCACGTGGCTCTAGATTTGTATATTGTTTCAGTGTGTGAACACGCGGTGCCGCGATTTAAACTTTAGGATCAGCTTTTTATATCGATAAAAAGCTTATGTTGTTTATAGGCGCAGATGATGATCATATCAGGCCACGATTTGGGAAAAATTAAATAAGCGCCCCCTCGAAAAAGCGCCCCCGTCTTCTCCTAAATTTGAAATAAGCGCCTCGGCGCTAATTCGACTGATTTACCGTATTGTAATCTTTTGATCGTTTGGGTCTCAAATAGGGGTATTTTATTTAAGAACCCTGGGCTTGAAATAGTGATGAATTTTTTGTGAATCCTACAAGCAGCCATTCTTGCTTTTATAAGTACAAGTGTGCATCGGCTGTGAAGGAAGTTGGTTCTTCTTACGTGACAGAGGGCTACCGCTAGCACTTTTAATTTCCTCCACGTGATAACAGTAAGCAAAACACCTCAAAGGAGATGCGTATCTACAGAAAGCCTGCGTAGCAAGTGTTCCCATACTGGAAGAGCTTTTCCTCATTCTGGCCGCGCTTAAATTGGAGCGAGAGCAAAAAATCGACGAAGCAGGGGTGCTTTAGCATGCTTTAGGGACGGGCCCTTTCTTTTTAGGGGCAGGGAGAGGGGGCGTTGGGTAATTTCCAAAACAAAATCCTGCACAGCAAAAAATGCTGAAAAGAATCGTGTAAGGGGAGCCAAGGGGTAAAAAATGGAGCAAGTGCTTCTTGCTATCATTACTATGTTTTTTGATGTTACACAAGCTATTGCCCATCAAAAAAACTCATGTGCAACTCAAATATGATTCATGCCCCCAGAAAATTGCCCAACCACCAAACCTCCCCCCCCCCCCACTTCTCCAGTCAAACAATAATGGTCCGCTGTTAGTATGCTCGATTACCAGCCACTGGAAATGAGCCCGCGATACCCATCAATGAAATACAGTCAAATTAGGCGATATCCTGTGAATTTAGGCTCCAGACTACCCGGACTGGACTAAATTGGACATGCAATTCGAATAAACGTCTTTCCAGCCTTTTTTCCTGGTTCCAACACAGGCTTTTCAATCCCGCATCGTGCCATTACTTGGTTAAATTTTGGTTAACGTCCAGAAGACTATATCATAGTCTCTTGTTCACGTCCCACACAGAATATTTACACTCTTTTTTTAGAGGAATGCTATATTTTATAGGAATATCGGGGTTGAAATTTGCGAAAGTTTAAGGATATTTTAAGAATAACCGCTCAAGGCCGAGATTTTGAAAAGAGTATGTAATTTTGTGCGGTAAAAATGTAATAACAACACAATTCAGTATGTTTTTAACTAAACCGTATAGAATTCTCTCTTTCAGAAAACGGCCAAACTAACCTCCCCCCCTCCAAAAAAAATAAAACGTTAAAAACAGCACTAGTCGTATGTTCGATGCTAATAACATTTTCGCATGAAATTGTATGTACGAGCAAGAGATTGTCAAGGTACGTGTCATTTCGCAATTTTTTATTATTAACGTACGTACAATGCAGATACAGACTCAAACTGCTCCATGAGGAAACTCGTGAATTTCTCAGTGAATGATGATTGATTGACATAAGCTCGCAATAACTGAGGCTCCGTTTGACGCGAAAATACACACGGCCGGATTATTTGTCCCTCAAAGCTCGCAGTTGTAAAAGAAACGATCGTGGGGGAGAAACGACCTCTTCTACAAATGGACGACTCGATCTGTCTTCTTTTTATGCTTCTTCGTTATTGACTTTACAGCAACGTTACCTCTTACAACTCTTACACTTCGGAACCTAAGATTCTGCTCTCGCTCTTTTACGTTGACCTGGTGAAAACTGTCAATCAAGCATCAAACTGACAATCATACCACGAAATCTAGGCTTACGTAAGGTTTTGCGCAGTCCCCGCTAAGCAGCACTACGCTTGCGCATGAGAATCATTACCATATTCTCCTTCGACCGAGTACCAGAGTCGAAATCCTTTTCATGTTATATTTTCTATATCATTCCAAGAGAGTCTGGCCAATTAAAACAGCGAGAGCGTATAAAAATTACAAGAATTGCCTCTAAAAAATTAAATTAAAACACAAGTTACAGCAATGCACAGAAAAACTCAAACAGAGATTGTTGTGCATTCCCTCTCAAAAAACAACTCGGGCTAGTTTATTGGAGAAGAAAGGCGGTCTTACTGGCTACACCTTTACCGTAGTTTAGTATTTAAATGATTATTATATTAGTTCTAATAACAGAAATCAAAAAGTGGCAAGGTACGTGTTACTGTACGGAGGTCCTTTGAAGGAAACCGACTTCCAAAAGGTTTTCAGTGAATAACACCTTTTTCCTTTTAACGAGTGTTACAAGGAGACATTTAATTAACGTAGTTAAAATTGTCCATCTGCAATCTTCACTAAAGAAATATGGTCTGCTGTGGTTTTTACTTCGTAGAAAATATAATTTTAAATTAGGAACAGAACATGTACCATCAATAGCAATAAATTATTCTAGGAAACTGGTCAGGTAAAATGCATTTTCTTATTTCACCTGGCTAGGACGCTACGCCTAAATCGAGCTAACCACCCAGATTTAAATAATACCAACTACATAAACTTGATGAAACTCATTCTCTTTGAGCTAAATTAATTCCAAGCACATACAAATTAAATATTAATATTTACAGAGTTTTTCCACCCAGAATTTCCACCAGAAGATTTCTCTATAACTGATCCAAATTTCCTTCTTTAACATATCAGCAAGCTACTAATGCATTTTAAAAAAAGGACAACGGTTTTCAGTTTTAAATACATGTTTCGACAAGTCGGTGTATACGTACAATAGATGTTACCTAGAATAACTTACATAACACGAATAAAATACCTAGAATTGAAAACAAAAGGCAAATGCAGAAAAAAACGTGCAGAAAAATTAAAATAAAAGAGACAAATAACATGATTAATTTGCTGATTTAAAGCAAAACTGTTCTCTCAACTTGTATATTCAAATTCACTCCAGTTGTAACTGTGACAGACGTTACAGGGAAGTTTAAGAAAACCGCGACGGCAAAGGTAACGGGAACGTCGCGAAACAAAAGGTTTAATGAGCAGGACAATGGCTGTGCACGTGCATAATAAGTCTTGGTACATTTCTTGCCGTCCTCTGTAAAACAACAACGTGAAACGACCAAATTCTGCGTCGTGTGGAGGACGTGAACCACAACGGATAATTTTTAAAA